GATCGTCGACTTCGGCTGTCCGACCCAGGATGCAGTGCTAATGGAAGAAGGGACGATCTTCGACAGCTCTTTGCGCCCTACCTCTAAGAAACGCCCGCCCACGGGAGAGCAGGTGGAAGTGCTGATATTCGAGCACAAGAATGGTCCCTGGAAATGGTATCCGGGCAAGATCTTGATTAAGTCCTTCCTCAACTTGGAAAAGACAGCGCTGATAGAAGTGGAAATCAATGGCTATCGTCAGCGCGAACTGCTTCCCGAAAAACAGATCCGACGACCACTTTCGCTGGATAAACAACAGCAAAAGCGTCTGCAACCAGGACACTTCGTCTTGCGGACGTGTCGTGTGCCGAACGGTTACTGGACGTTGGACCGGTTTGTAGCAGATGCATTGTGCCGTAAGGTAGAAAAGAAATTTCATCTTCGCTTTACGCGCGTCCTCAGCCAGGAGCTGCACTACGTTCGGCGGTGCAATGAGCCTCCAATGGATGATGCGGATGTGGTAAGATTCCCTACGAAACCGGTTTGACCTCCCAATATCATTGTTGTTTTGGTACTGCATGGGGTCGTTTCTTGTCGAACGTTAGTTATACTGTATTTTGCGTAAACCGGCAAGAAACAACCGGAAACTGTGTTTTACAGAAAAATATAGAATAAAATTTTTGCAAAATGTTTTTCTTGAATTTGTGTTGTTTGCTCTACGTAATTATGCGTAAGCTCTAACTAAAACTTTGTTCAATTCTTTTTTATTTTAGGCGAAACTTTTCGAAAGCCAGAATGGGAAATGTGTACGTTCTCCTAACGAAAAGTCGTGCCTGAGCGAACGAAAGCGGAAAAAGCGCCAAACTGCAGGGGATTGCGGTTTAGCATTGCCAGTCGAGATCTTGAAGGAGATCTTCCTCTCACTGCACACCGTCGATCAACAGCGCTGCCGACGCACCTGTCAGCTGTGGGATGCCGTGCTGACATCGGGAGACGAGTGGAGAACATTCGTGCGCATACAGATAGAGGCAGAGGACGATTATGCCATTCATCCATACATTGGGTATAATTGCCTCTTCAAGCACATCACGCCCGGTACGCGAACAATCTGCCTGCAAGATCCGGAATGTGGTCTTGACTACGAGGACCGCGAAGATTGGATTAAGATCAACGAAGCTGTGAACTTGATTAGAAAAGTCCTGGACGATGGAGGCATACGCATCGACCGATTTATCCTGCACCAACGCGAGATGTTAATTGACTTATCCGAACTGCCGCTGAAAATGTTTTTCGCCGAGACAGTCGCGCTGTATTCCAAACTGGCATCCTGCTGTGACCGTTTAATATTGAAGCAACACCGTCTGATTTATCAGTGCATAAATGATAATTCCTGGGAATTCCGTATTCCAACGGCTGCCATGAATCCAGGCAGTGTGGACGAAGCGCAAATTTGGGATGTGTTTGAGAAGCATCTGTGCTGTGTTGGACCGAAGAGAGAGCTGTACGAAAGGCATCGGTGTCATCCGCCGGTCGACAAGCAGCGTTTGACCCACTGCCTGGCGAATTTGATTAACAGCCGAGAGAGGGCGTCGATTGTGAAGAAGGTACCTCATGTACTGTACATATACCACGGCTACAGTACTCTCCGAGAAACTGTGCATGAGTTCTGCAATTCAGCTTTTTCTAATGGCATTCCGATTATCCGGAATGATTTTACAGATTCTGAAGGATTACCAAACTTGCGATCCGCGTTCCTCCGCTTCTTACCGGAATTCGAAGTGGATTTTGTATAATATGGCGAACATGGACGTCGGAAAGCTGAACAAACTGTGCCTGCTTGCCTTGTGGCGCGAAATGGCGTTCTGGTCGGATTCATCCTCCGATGAGGAAGAAGGCAACAGCGACAGCTCAGATTCTGACAACTAGGGACGGCGCATTACTGGTGAACCTTGTTTCATTTAGCGCTATATTCTTATACTTTGTACTATATAATTGCACCAGACTGGGCATTGGCAAACCGGGACGCAGCTCTCATGGTCGGGGCTGCAGACTTAGCTCTGCCTGTTTCATCATAACAACATTATCCAGATTCAGATCTATATTGCCACGAATGGGATACACCAGAGCCGGCAAACCAGAAAAGACTGACCAAAACCAATATTATATTCTGAAAGCCCGTAGTCGAAAACCCGTCCAGATAGTATTCATTTCTTTCAAAACCTCTCCCGCTTCGAACGCCAACCGGAAGAGTTTTGACTACCTTCACCAAATGTAACTAAATTAGTATAATAATAATTATCATCGTGGTATTTTTAACCAGGTAGTGTTGCCACGTAAACAAACTAAAATACGGTTAAAAAACGAAAGTATTTTCCACTAAATAAAGTATCACAATTAATTTAATTAGCAGACGACTACAAATTTAACGACTACATATTTAAGAACGACTATATATTTAACATTGTCATCGAGGACAATTTCTAAACAAGTGCCGGCCGAGCAGCTATCGCCACACTATCACTAATGTGATTGTCTGTTCAATCAGTGATAGACCGAACTACCGCCACTGTTCAGTGCACAAACCCGTTAGTTCACTGAGTGACCGAACTACCACTACGGATAGCTATGTGAGCGGTTGACCGAGCCGCTCACATAGCTATCCGTGGTTTTCGGTTTTACCTTCGATCACCGCACTGGTCCGCAAACAGTGAGGACATTAAGGCTTCGTTTATGAAACAAAACGATAGTCATTTTCGGTTGCCATTGGTACAGCAACGATGTTCAGTACAGATAGAGACCTGTGGCTGCCCGCAGCTTCCACCTTTATATCACCTGTCAGGACAGTGAACAACTGCTGAATGGTGCAGCACTATAGCAATATTTTGCGATTTTTGTGCAAATATAACGTGGTTTTCGCGCTAATTAATTGTGTGCCTAGTTGGTTCGTACAGTCGACTAGGTTGCTTTTTTCATTGGCGTACTATAAATAATTACCGGAATTATTCCGCAGATTTTGCAGGATTATCAAAACTGTGACCCACGTCTTTATGCGCAATATGGGAATTCCAAGCTGATTCGGTATAATATACATAGCTACCGTAGACGTTGAGAAGCTGAATAAATTGTGCCTGTACGGCTTGTGGCGCGAAATGGAGGACTGGTCGAGTTCTGACTCACCCTCGGATGGGAAAGCGAGCGACAGCTCCGAGTCCGACGATTAGGAAGTAATAACGGTTCGGTAGATAGTTTACAGTTATAATTGGAGACCCTGAAACGCGATAAACACGGCGCTTTTACCTTCGATTTTTTCTAGTATGTGCCGCAAATACAGTACATATAATACGATAATATGTGTCGTAAAATTGCTTGGAATTTTGAATCTTACCTTTGTAATGCTCTTTTAATGTTCGGAGAATTATGGAGGAGCGCAGTTCTCAACAATTCTACTGATGGTTTTGCTAATAAGCTTATTTTGACAGTTCTGCGTCTGTATGTGTCAACGCTTTGATTTCTGTTTTCTTGTGCAGCATTTTTATTTGCGGTGATACTATATTGCTGATCTTTCTCTGTGTAAGCATTCTGCTCAAACGCGCGCATGTCCGGCGTCTGTCAGTAGTTTATCGAAAGGAACCAGCGTCAGTCTGAAATGTCCAAAATCAATCTAAAATGCTAATCTGAAAACTGTGCGGGTGAGCAATAATGATGTAATCTTCTCCGGATCTACAGTTACATTACACTACTATCCAAATTAAATATCCCAATTAAATAGTTCTGCGTCAAAGCTTTATGACGGTATTCCTGCACTATTTTTCTCCTTCGCTTTTCCTTTACTTCGTTTATTGACTTAAGAATATAAAATTCTCGCTGTATGCTTAATTAGTCGACAGGCTTATATATCGTACCTTTACCCCCTCGTGACGTGTTTGGATTGGTCTCACGAATATTGCCTTGTAATGGTCGCGCTTAGTAGGTGTAGAAGCGATGTTAACTAAATCGATGGTAGTCACGGTACTGAACGGAAAGCATAATAATTTTCGAGCTATATACCGGTAACATGTTAATGAATTTACGAAAGTCTCATTGCTTACCGGCAGCAATAACACTACATACCATACTTATGATTTAATAAGTTACATCGCGTATTACACAAGTAACAACAACAAAAATACACAACATCATTCTCGCTCAGCTAATTTGAAGGCAAAATACACATCTTCCCGCTCAACCATGTCGCTGAATGTACCGAGAACAGAAACTGCATTTCCTCGCTGAATCTCGATACCGATTTTCTGTCGCAAAAACTCCCCTGAGCGAGGGTTGCCTGTACAGTCGCTAATCTTTCTCGACAGATCTTTGAAGAATTTCTTTGTCAGTGGTCCGAATGTACCCGTGGTTTCAAACGCCAGCGGTTGAACGTTGTAACGGCCTGCCAGCCCGCTGTACTTTTCTAACTTCCGATTTTCAAGAATTTCCGCTGCGCTTCCGGGCACCCTGGACGTCTGGGCGATGTATGTTAGGGCAAAGGTGTCAGCCACGGTTACATCCCATACTAGCGCCTTGCCATTTTTCCAAGGGAATGCTGTGACTCCATCAGGTCGCTTTCCATCTCCTCTGTTTAAGCCTGCTGGCTCAAGTGACGATGGTACTCTTGCCGAGCACAATGCCCGCTTTGTAGCTTCGTTCAGGACGGCGTGGACTCCGTGCCTTCCTTTCGCTAGCTTGCATACCAAGCCAGCGAACTACATAGTATGTTCCTCTGCAGGCTTTATGCGTGCCCATGTTATGTTTTTGCCTTTGGCGGCTCATTCAGTTAAACATTCAGTAGCTTATCTTGAGATGCAACATTCCGATAGCTCACTCATGTTGGCCGGATAGCAGTACACATGCGTTGATCAGATCATTAATCGTCCGATTGCACTTGATTCTCCGTACCTCAATGTTTCATCGCAGCGAAACAAGCGACGAACAAGCACAAGTCGTACAAGTGCCTGTAATGTTCCTCGCAATATCGTTTGCAATTTGCAGTTTTTCCTTAATAAATGTGCTACTTAGCAACATAACACTAAGCGACGCACCATTATTTTAACCGTCACGGTGGCTATCTTCAGTCACTTTATTAATTTTCATATTAGATAAATCAAAATGTATCTGTATGACAAAATAAAAGGTAAAAATTCCCTGTACGCCTGGAATGCCGTGGATGTTGAGGTTGAGGGTTTGATGCAACGCGGGCACGTTATTGGCCTAACGGACGGATCTGACGGAAGGCTGCCGCGACTTATCATCGATTTCGGCTGCCCGACCCAAAATGCCATTCTAATGGAGGACGGAACGGTCTTCGATAGCCACCTTCTTCCAGCTTTTAGGGGTCGCGCGCCCGTGGGAGCGCGGGCTGAAGTGCTAATGTTTGAGCGGAAGAACGGCCCTTGGACATGGTATCCCGGCAAAGTCCTGATTGAGACTTTCATTAACTTGGAAAGTACAGCGCTGGTGGAAGTGGAAATCAACGACTGTCGTCAGCGCGAACTGCTTCCCGATCAACAGATCCGACTGCTTTTGGACGAGAAACTGCAGCGAAAGCGCCTGCAACCAGGACACTTCGTCATGCGGACGTGCGGTGTGCCTGACGGTTACTGGGCCTTGAACCGATTTGTAGCAGACGCATTGTGCCGCAAAGTAGAGCAATTGTACCGCCTGAAATTTACTCGCGTTCTCAGCCAGGAGATGCACTATGTGCGGCGGCGTGACGAGCCTCCCTTGGAGGATGCAGATGTGGTAAGTTGCAGTACCGCTGCTTGCTTCGCTGTACCGCTGCTTTCTTCAAAGTAATCGCCAGTACTTACAAGAAGTACCAATGCTTCAAGTAAATAAATCGAGATTAGTTTTAAGTAGTACCATTGTTTTCATGGAAACACATTTTCCTGCTTTATATAATTATAAATATACGCTCATTATGAAACCAGTCGTATGTTAGCAGGAGATAAGCACAGCCTAAAATATAGTTTGCCCGAATACCGGGCGAGCAGTCACTGAGTTTCTTGCCCGGAATGCCCGGGCGCATTGCCATTGCATATGTTTTACTGGCACGAATTTTGCCCACTTACACTTGTTTGTAGGAATTAGCGTTTGACCAAGATCTTGACAAAATATGGTTGGACCACTAGGCGAAAGTGTTCAAAGGACAGAGAGAAGAATGCGCACTTTCTGTTGACGATGAATTCCAGAAGAGCGAACGCAAGAGGAAAATGCGGGTTACTGGCGGTGAATGCGGTTTGGCGTTGCCTGCAGAAATTCTGAAAGAGGTCTTCCTCTCACTGCCCACCGTCGACCAGCAGCGCTGCCGGCGCACCTGCCTACTGTGGGATGCCATTTTGACATCGGGAGATGAGTGGAAGAAACATGTACGCATACGGGTGGAGGATCCGGGTGCGTGGGATTACGATCATCCGTTTATCGGGTATGGATGTATCTTTAAGCACATCACGCCCTTTACGCGAACCTTTTGCCTTGAGGATCCCGAGGCCAACTTAAACTGCGCATACCCCGACGATCTGGTTGAGACTAATGAAGCCTTGAACCTCGTTAAAAACGTTCTGGACGATGCCGGCATACGCGTTGACCGTCTTATCCTGAAACAACGAAAGGTGTTAATTCATTTATCTGAATTAACACTGAGAGTGTTTTTCGCCGAGATGGCAGCGCTATTTTCCTCACTGGCGTCCTGCTGTGACCGTTTGATTTTGAAGCAATACCGTCTGAATTATCGATGCAGGGTTACTGACAACTCCTGGGAATTCCTCATTCCATCGGCTGTTTTCGTTCCAGGCAGTGTGGATGACGCGCAAAGTTGGGATGTGTTTGAGAAGCATCTGAGCTTGTGCTGTGTGGGACGGAAGAGACAGCCGTACCAGGGGCATTGGTGTTGTCCGCCGGTAGACATTCCGCGGATGGCGTCCTGTCTAGCGAATCTGATTAACAGCCGGGAGAGAGCGTCGACTGTGAAGAAGGTACTATACAGTGGACTTTAAAGTTTTGTTACATTCGGTCCGGGACCGAATGGCCAATAAAAATAAACGGCCAAGACGAAATGCACCTTGCGCATCGTACGAAAACAATCAATCAATACCTCAAAGTCTCAAACGAAAGAGAAAAAAATTTATGAATTTCGATACCAAACAGGTCATCATCCTTTATAAAATTTCATAAAATCTAAGAAAACATCGAGTCGTTTTAGGTTGTCGTTGACAACGCATACGATTTCTGTGTGAAAACTGAAACCAAACCGTGGATTCGAATTCTATGCTATGTCTACTAGGAAAGTGCACTCGCTTTTTGCGGGCACTGCATGACCGAAGCGTAGCAGGAATACGTGTCTAAGTTACAGTAGTTTGTGGTAAGCCTCTAATGGTAAGGCAATTTAAGCTAGTTTCAGTAGAGCAGCATTACCAAATCACCAATGAAATCTGGAAAGCCATCCGTTCAGCCGTCCGAAATCTAGAGCGCCTAACAGAAAATCCGTCAGTGCTCTACAAACTGTGTTTTCGCAAGCGAACGGTTTTGTTTAAATGTAATGTCTGCTACACCAATCAGATATCATGTTGTTTTAGTAGTATTGTCTTCTCAGGTAGACAAACTTTTCAACTCGGAATCAGAGCTTTTTTACGGTTACTCCGGAAGAACAACACCGTCTTGATTAATTCTGTGATGTTATCACTTTTGTTAGGCAGTAGCAGGAAGGATCAAAAAGGTCACCCACTATCCCTTACTAAGGGGCAGTCATCTCAGTAATTTTAATTACATGCTGGCCAATGTGTTGCCATTCTAGCGATCGTATAAAGGAGGAGATAACAAAAATGTCTGCTGGGCGTTTTTGCCAGTCCGGTTCCCTTAAAAATGATGCAGGTCAGATCATACACTATGACAAAATAATAATTTATGCCGGCCAAGCCGGGAGGGGGAGGTCAGGTTTAGTGGCTCTGCCGTAGGACTTCTTTTTTGACTAAATGGTCAACCTCTGTCAGTAGCCTACTTCAACAGAAACTTAAGCAAGGGGCATACGCCAACTGGAGGGGCGGTGCTCCAAAATCAAACTGATGAAACGAACAGGTTCAATTCGTCAGTTCGGGCCTCCAGTTTCTCCAGTAGTGGCGTTCCCATCAGTTTAAGTTGGAGGTTACCTTATATTTTATGGAAACGCGCCTTTACTGGGGGCCCGAACTGACGAATTGAACCGGTCATTTCATCAGTTTGAATGGAGCTCCGCCCCTCCAGTTGAAGTGTACTACATGCTTACAGCGCATTGTCGGCTGTTTTGAGAGCAGATTCAAAATGTTTTCAGCAACACGTTCACCACAATTTTCAAAGGTCCTGAGTGTACGGGGCTACAGTGCACCCTTCTTTTTTAGATCAGATGGTATCATGGTAGCGACCGACAAACGGGCAACACAAGTTACTCGGGACGTGAGTATGTATATACGGCCACCTCGCATCGGGCATCTCATCACAATGCTACTGTGCATATGTGCATTTAGTGGCGGTGACCGACGAACGGACATCGCCAGTTACGTGGGGTTCGAGTATCTACTGCAACCGCGCATTGGTGCACCTCTTCCCAATGCTACTGTGCATATCTGCATTTAGTGGCGGTGATCGACGAACGGACATCGCCAGTTACATGGGGTTTGAGTATATACGGCCACCGCGCATTGGGGCACCTCTTTCCAATGGTACCGCGGATATGTGCATTTAGTGGCGGTGACCGACGAACGGACATCACCAGTTACATGGGGTGTGAGTATATACGGCCACCGCGCATTGGGGCACCTCTTTCCAATGGTACCGCGGATATGTGCATTTAGTGGCGGTGACCGACGAACGGACATCACCAGTTACATGGGGTGTGAGTATATACGGCCACCGCGCATTGGGGCACCTCTTTCCAATGGTACCGCGCATATGTGCATTTAGTGGCGGTGACCGACGAACGGACATCACCAGTTACATGGGGTGTGAGTATATACGGCCACCGCGCATTGGGGCACCTCTTTCCAATGGTACCGCGCATATGTGCATTTAGTGGCGGTGACCGACGAACGGACATCACCAGTTACATGGGGGTGAGTATATACGGCCACCGCGCATTGGGGCACCTCTTTCCAATGGTACCGCGCATATGTAGAGTTTAGTGGCGATGACCGACGAACGGACATCACCAGTTACATGGGGTGTGAGTATATACGGCCACCGCGCATTGGGGCACCTCTTTCCAATGGTACCGCGCATATGTGCATTTAGTGGCGGTGACCGACGAACGGACATCACCAGTTACATGGGGTGTGAGTATATACGGCCACCGCGCATTGGGGCACCTCTTTCCAATGGTACCGCGCATATGTGCATTTAGTGGCGATGACCGACGAACGGACATCACCAGTTACATGGGGTGTGAGTATATACAGCCACCGCGCATTGGGGCACTTCTTTCCAATGGTACCGCGCATATGTGCATTTAGTGGCGGTGACCGACGAACGGACATCACCAGTTACATGGGGTGTGAGTACATACGGCCACCGCGCATTGGGGCACCTTTTTCCAATGATACTGCGCATATGTGCATTTAGTGGCGGTGACCGACGAACGGACATCACGCTTCCCATTAATTCTGAACATAGAGGACCTTCGCTACGCTTCGGTCGACGAGAAACTTTAGATTCATCGATTTTCACTTATGGTTAGATCTCATAAAAACTACGTGTAAGAAACTTGTTTGAGTTGTTTCGTATCAACATCCTTGAAATTTTCTTCTCTTTCGTTTGAGATTTCGGTAAATAATTTTCGTTGGGATATCGCAAGGTGCAAATGTTAATGTCAGCAGGCCGATTGTCGGTCCCAAATTTGGCTGGTTGAGTACAGAAAAGTGCCTGGTTGCGCGCCTTTTGTAACAAAATTTTGAGGTCTACTGTACGTAATATTACGACCTTTCAATTGACATGGTTTTTAACGTACGATGTGAGCATTGCGACATAAGAAGCCAGTGTGTGCATCTTTTGCGACTGAAAGAGTGAAAAAAACTGGTAGGGCAAAATTTACGGCGGTCGTTTTGGCGGCCGCCGGTTGTTTCGGACGGTTTAGAGGCTGAAACGACCGGCTGTCGTCTTACACGACCGGTTGTTTTGGACGGTAACACACGTGGCTTTGCCACCGACAAATGCACCTCACTTTCAGATAACAGTGATGAAAATCACAGCATACAGTAAGATAGTTCAGTACCGCTGTTGGAATGTACGGATTCATGCACCACGGTTATAGTTTTCTTTTAGAAACTTCGAACTGGCTTGACTTTTGTAATTCTACCGACACTTAGCCCGATTAACGTGATATTGCAGATCCTGAAGGACTACCAAACCTGCGACCCACGCACTTCTTCTCATTACCGGAATTCTAAGTGGATTCTGTATAATATGGCTAGCGTGGACCTGGACAAGCTGAACAAATTTTGCCTCTATGGATTGTGGCGCGAAATGGCGCACTGGTCCGATTTACCCGCGGATGGGGACACCAGCAGTAGTTCCGAGTCCAATTACTAGGAAATACTTTAACAGGGCAGAACCCTGATAGATTCAGTGCCATATTGGTTATCGTACTAAACGTTTACCTTCCCTTACTTAGCTTCTTTGTACTGCATCAAAACGCAAACAGCCTGGAATATTTTTCAAACATTTACAGTGATCGCTTTCTTATTGACCGGGAAATCAATTTTAAGAGTAAAACTAATACGGCAAAATTTTCTGGGCGGCTAGCTGATCAGCCTAATCCGCCAGTTTTGCATCGAGGCTTTAATATCCGTTTTCCTCTGGTGTTTCATCATTTTCACCTTCGGCGCTTTCCCAAATTGACGATGAGTTCTCGATGTGTTTCTGTACGTAATTAAACTCGGCGTACTGGCAGATTATCTTCGGCTTGCTTAAGGCCAAATCATCCAGGTTGTTCGCCTTCCTCAGTCGATCCCAATACTGTGCGAGTGAACGCGGATCATTGGTCTGGAATTTCTCCAAACCCTTGAACATTAAACAGGCTTGTCAGAATGATCGTTATGACATCGTGTATCCTCATTCAGTTAACTGTATGCAGTTTTCCTAATATTATACCGATACCTAAAATACCAATAAGTACTGTACTATAATCAAATCGTAATGAACTGCTATCAGGCGCTCCGCCGATCAGCTCTGGAGCCTATTGCGCCAGGCTTTCCACATCCACCGGCTTTTCCCAGCACTCATACTGCTCGAAGACAGGTTCACCGCACCGAAGGATCAGATTCACATCATGCAGGTTTACCGCACCGAAGTTTTCGAATATTTTTTACCAATACATCGTACCGAAGTTTTCAAAACGTTTAACGGGATGCGGAACTTCATAGGAACGTCCAAAGCGCAGATATAATACGTTAGTGAAGAATCCTTCCAGATGAGCCGCTCACAACAGGCCACCAACATTCCGTACAATTTGTAGCTGCTATCAGAGTAATCCCACACAGAGTAAAAACACTTCAAATGCTCGCACAAATCAATCGGTCAATGGGATGTCGGTGACCTCCAGAACGTTCTGGATGTTCTTGATCAATTCGGCATTTGAAGGGGTATATGCGTACTCAATACCGCTAACGCAGATACGTTATCGTCTGACTGGAAACTGATATCACATGAGAGCCGTTTTTTGCATTCTGTTCCTTTTCTTGGTAGTTTATCCATATCCTGACGGACTAAATTTCCTGCTGCGGTCGCATTCGTCGTCCAGTATTTTTTCCGGCACGCTGCGTGTCCTAGTTGCCAACTGACCCGGCTGCAGCATCTGTTGCTGTAGGTCGGCTAATCTCCTTTTGTTGGAGCAGTTCGCGCACACGATGCCCCGGTAGCTTTACCGGTACCCGCGCGTATCTTCGGAAAAAATAGAAGTCGAGCAGGAGGAGTTTCGTGATACCATTTTCAGAGATTATCGGGATGGTTGCGCTTCAGCACTTGCACAGCCTCGTAATGGTCACTTGCAGCAGCAGCGGCGTCGCAAAAGCTCGTTTTTCCTGGTCCGTTTTTCCTGCTGGCGCGTTGCGTGTTCCACCGAGACGGGTCGCTGTGTCGTAAAGCCGAAATCGATGATCAGCCGCGGAGGAGTCTAGTTTGTTCCAGGGGATTAACGTTTTCAAATTGCAACCGTCCGTCCACCTCCACGTTCACCTCCTTCCAGGCGTTCACTGAGCGTTTGGATAGTCGATACGGCCCACGGATATTCTAGCACTTCGTACAAGTGCGTGCTGACTTAACGAGCGGTGGAAACACAATGAAAAACAAGAAATAGCGCGTCCATCAGGAAACTGTGCTTATGGCTCGATACCGGTAACTGCGTGCTTATCACTTCGTTCCAAAGTTCAAATCATTCTTCTCTAAAGAACTGCTTACACGATTGACTCGGTTTTTGTCTTGGTCCGTTGTTTTTCAATATACCAGTCAGTACTTACCTATTTGTACAGCAATTTGTTCACTTTTGCAAAGACGCTTCCTGTACTCTGCAAGTGAGCGCAGAGAAGTCAAAATGTATTTGTACGATGACGATACGCGAGCCGTGCGCGGATGTGATGGTGTGGATGTGAAAATAAACGGCCTACTGCAGCATGGAAATTTCATCGGTCTGGAAGAGAATGGCGACACTGCGGCAACGTTTGATCGTTGACTTCCGATGCCCAGAGCAGCACACGGTTGTAGTGGATTACGGGACGCTTTTCAGCTGTTACGAGCCTCCTTTCGACCGACCACCACAGGGAGCAGCCTGTGAGGTGTTGCTGTTCGATCATCCTGCTAATCCTTGAAAATGGTATCCCGGGCGAGCGCTCCTGGGTCCCTTCGAGAACCTGACGGACTATTCGTTGGTGGAGGTGAAAATGTTTGGCCAACGTTTTCCTGAACTGCTTCCCGACAACCAGGTCCGTCTGGCGACATCGGAAAAGGAGCGCACCGGAAGACGTCTTAAACCGGGTGATTGGTACATGAAGACGTGCAGTGTGCCGAACGACTACTGGACTCTCAACCGCTCCTTAGCCGCGAGAATATTGCGCTCAGTGGAAAACCGCTTCCAACTGCGAATTACTCGCATTTTCAGCAAGAGGACGCACTACATGAAGCAGTACGGCCGGCGTTATTTATCTCAAACCAGGATCGTACGTTCACGTCAAAGCCAAACGTTATTTATGAAGTGTTGACGGTCAGACAGGTTTTTTGTATTTCATCATAGTTAAATTACTTCGGCGGTGTAAGAAAGGAATTCTTAATTAAAGGCAAGTACTTATCCGACGATTCCCGAAGCCTGGAAGAATTCGAGAGTGAACCAAAGAGGAAAGGACGGTGTAAGGCGAATGGACGCGGTTTGCCGTCGTGGTCTTCCTTTCACTGGACACCATTGATAGATAGCGCAGCCGGCGCACCTGCCATCTATGGGAAACCGTGCTTGCTTCGGCAGAGGTGTCCAAAGTCCAGACTTCCGTGTTTCGCTCCAATATCCAGCCTTCTCTCAACGGCTCAGGAAATACTGGAAATTTAGTTATACTGCGTACGCTTGCATCCTCAAGCAAATAAGTCCAGCGATGCGGGCCATTTGCCTGCAAGATGTCGACATCGAACGCGAAAACAAGCAAGATTTAGACGAACAAGATCCCGACGAAGCGATGAACTTGATTAAAACGGTACTAGACGATGCCCGCATGCGTATCGACCGTTTAATCGTGTGCCAGCGCATTCATAAGTTCGATCAGATAGGATCCCCTTTAATTCAGCTAAAAGCGGTTTTCGCCGCGATGGCTGGACTCCATCCTAGCGAGCTGCTGTGACCGCATAATTTGAAAAATTTATTCCTTGATATGGGAAAGCGATGACGGTGCGGGCGTACAGTACTAGAATTCCGTATTCCGTTTGCCGACTTCATTTTAACAAATGCGGTAAGCACAGTTTTGGGATTTGCTAGAAAACCATCTGTGTTGCGGCGGGCAGCCGCTGGATGTGGAGCGCATTGCGCTGTCCACATCTGGTTGTACGGACATGGACGCAAAGACCAGGAGAATCGAACAAGTAAAGGCATGCCCGCTTTGTGCGCGTTTTCGTGAAGTAACTGGTTGTCTCTCAAAATGTAGATTTTGAAGCACAGTCAAGCTGGCGATCCGCGCCCCTCTGCACGTTATCGGGGAAGCACTTGGACGCTATTACCAGCGTGGATGTCCACCAACTGAACACGCTGTGCCGACAGGTCTTGTGGCTCTACGTGCAAAAATGGGCTACAAACACCCTTGGAATCCAGTGAAGAGGGTGTGGATTCTAGCCACAGCTCCGAGTCCAATTCCAATGATAGTTCTTAGTTTAGTCTTGTTAGTTGTTATTTTATTCCAGTGTTAGTTCTGTCCGATGCCAGCGATACATCTTGCATAATTAGCCCGTTTGAAATTAGACGATTGTTTTATGCGTCAAGTGTAGCTTGAACCACAAGTAATCATTCCTTTAATCAAGTCATGCCTTGAATTCCCTTTTTTTAGTAGCTAAACAATTTCTAGTTGATAGTTTTTAGTAGTTCACTCATTTAACTGCCTTTGTGGTGATTTCTTACACTTTACCGTATTGCCATTTCCTGATAATCCGTTTTCTCTTCACTAATTTTGCGCTGGTCTTCGGCGGCAGCGGTGATATTTATGAACGAAAAATTGCTGTACGTACGTCAATCAACGTGTCCAAATAGCGTAGCGTAGTTTTGCAATAAGCATTTCCTTAAACGACAGCATTGTCGGTTTGTAGTTGTTATTGCTGCTTTGAAAGCGCACGATAAGTCTGAGAATCCGCTACTACTGTTATACTGTACATATATACAATCAGCTGATAGTTTTGTGCGAAACTGATACTAGTAGCATGTAACTTACTGATTGCACCGTATATATGATTATATACCGAGCCGATAGCACAGGCACTGTACGTTATCACAGCGGCGTCGAACATCACGTTCAGTAAACAGATTTATACTGCATTGCTCATTGCGGGAAAAGAAATGTATTGGTACGATGATGCCGAAAGATCAGTGTACGCATGGAATGCGGTGGATGTCGAAGTAAACGGGCTGCTGCAACACGGCCACGTCATCGGCTTGGATGAGAGCGACGGAGATGCACCTCGTCTGATTGTTGATTTCCAGTGCATGGCACAACGGTCGGTGTTGATGGATCACGGCAAAGCATATGACTGCTCCAGAAAGGGGAAATCCGACAAGATGCCGGAACCACTTGAATGGACCGACCGATTCAGTAGTGCGGCTGCGGGACCTGGGCATCTAACCGTGGAGGTCTTACTCCGCGCCCATTCCAATCAACCCTGGACATGGTTTCCCGCTAAGCTACTGCTATTCCGCTTCGCAAACCGAAAGTACGCTTTCGCGGAGGCAGTACTTGGTGAGCAGCGCGTTCGCGAAGTGTTGCCTGTAAGCCAGATCCGGCAGCCGTCCAAGACAGAGACGCTGCAAAAGAAATTATTGCCGCCGGGCCACTTTACCATACGAACGTGCAGCGTGCCGGACGGATACTGGCTGACGATGGAACCAGCCATGCCCGCCATGTTCCGCAAGGATTTGCAGCGTGAATGCAGGATTCATTTAGTGTCGGTTCGCAGCCACACTTTACATTACCTGCAACGGTCTGCTGAACCGCCGATAAGCGACGAGGACGCAGTAAGTCGGTACTTCATAGTGCTTCTGTTCTCCCGGTTATTAACATTCTTTCAAAACATATGTTCTCGAAATAGGAAGGGCATTGTAACTAGGCTGATCGAATATAAAATGTAAATTTTATTTCTCAATATGTATAAGGCGAGCATCCCTCAACAAAACTGATCAAATGAAGAATTTGTCCCAGTTAACATGGGAAGGGACAGTGCACAAAACACTCATCGCATTGCCACGCATAATCTCTAAACTTAAACGTTGAAACAAAAAACAAGTAGAACGGCTCTCGCCCGTCCTTAAAAACAACTTTTTACCAATCTCTTTTAACGTAATAATGCCGGTCTCACACCAAGTGCCAAAAGTCTCGCATGCAAAGGGGACAAAATTACAGCGATCCATAAGCGAGTTGTATTTTCCAATCTTCTCCCGGCAGGCCAGTTCAGCGGCAGCGCCAGCACACTTTGAAGTCGCGTCGATGTATGAATCCGCCATCGTGTCTCTGCAAGTGACGTCCCAAACTAACGGCTGACCGCGGTACCACTTCCAACGCGTGGCTCCATCCGGGCGCTTTCCGTTTTCACGCAAAAAGCCAATGGGCTCCGGATATGCTTCAATGCCGGCATTACATAGCGCTCGCAGTATGATATCGTTGATACCATTATGGCGTTCCCTTCTCCCGATGCACTTCTTGCAAGCTAGCCCATGGTATCCGTTTTCCGCAACCTCTTTGCCACATCTCGCACATGAGTGCTGCTCTACGATCTTGGCGCCAAGCCATAGGCCAACAGAAATGCGGAAAGTCTGAAGAAATTAATATTAATTAAATTAATATAAAATTAATAGTACAGCTGAAGATGCAGTAGCTGATCCCATTCCGTATTATGCTGCTGTGCGCAAACAGGGAAAAGCCGCCTTTTGCGATGCGAAGCTTGTATCGTACCGTCACCCGTGTAAACTTCGGCAACCGGTTTTTGAGCCTGCAAATAATTTTTACAGCAGCGTGAAGAATCAACCTGGTTACAGAGAATCTTCGGTTCATACGTAACTTCTACTGTATGTAGAGAAAGTCCGTCAAGCACGTGATGTTTCGCATCGATCATGGACTGGATCCACTATTACGAATTCCGAACAACGAAGCCAGTGAACCACGCCGCAAAGCCGCGGCAACCGGGAATGAGCGCGGTCTACCGCTGCCGCCCGAATTACTGACGGAGGTTCTGACATCGCTGTCCACCGTCGACCGACAGCGTTGCCGACGCACTTGTCAACTGTGGGAAGACATTTTAACATCCGCTGACGGGTCCCGAGATCTACGTCTCTCGCTGCAGGAACCTAGCTTCTCAGCCCGGGTGGAGCGTGATTGGAGCGCTGATTACGCGGTATACGGCTGCATCTTCAAGCACTTTACGCCCGTCACCCGGACCATCTCTCTGCACGATCGGGAAGTATCGGATGATAGTGGGATGGAACTGGAAGACACGACGTACGCCAGCCAAGCGATGGACTATATTAAACAGGTGTTGGACGATGGCGCCTCCGGCATCGAGCGGTTCATTCTGCACCAACGGTCCATGTCAATAATGGCTTTCAATTATTCCTTGGCGGAGTACTTTGACAGTGTCGCTGCACTGTACTCCAGCTGGGCGGCTTGCTGTAGGCGAATAATCTGGAAGGACAGTGTATTGAAGTATACCGATGGATTTGGCATGACCGAGTTGGAGTTCCGCATTCCCTACGCGGTATTCAATCTGAACACCTTAGATGCGGCACAAATTTGGGAGCTTTTCGAGCGAGCTTTGTGCTGGAATAACTGGCTAGACGTGGAGTGTTTAGCGCAGCAGACGACGGATCTGGTTCACCGGAAGTCGGAGACGGCCTGCAGTAAACTTGTCGAGGTAAGCCCTGGCAATATTCAAGATTTTATTTATATTCTCACATATCAGACTGAGCATCGTGAGATGCACAGTCGGGTATTGGCAGCCTCAAGTACGTAGATCGACGACCATGCAACGGGTTAGTTGCTAACTTGCCATTGATGGTTTTCGCTCCAATAAAAGTCATTTTAAAGTTTCGGTGAATCCTGAACTTCGCAAGTTCAAACCATTTTGACAGCCTCGATAGCTCCTCCGTTCTTTTCTCTTGATTGAGGCAGATTGTAATCAAGTTCTATTGCTAGAACAGTGTTCATCAGCACCCGGTTTTTATGTAGCTCCTGGAGGCGTACCAAGAGCCCGATCCGCGTCCGTCGGCGCATTACTTCGGCCGGAAATGGACAGTGGGTAATCTGGATTGTCTGGACGTCAGGAAACTGAATCGGATTTGCTTGTATGCGTGGTCCTGGCACATTGGACGTTGCTTTCCACCATGAATATATTATGATGGGGTCGACGGACTAGCGTACGCTACCCATCGCTTGTCCTTTTTTCAGCCCTCTGCTGCTGTCATCTGTGCCTTTTCATACAATTTGTCCGCTTTGATCACTACAGATTTGTGGCCGTGACATCGTCATTTTCACCTGATGGCAACATTGGCAAAGGTGGTTTACTAGCTTGCCAGTTTCCGATCAATATCTAAACACAGTCCGTGCACTGATGAATATGGTGATGCGATTAAAAAAGTTTTTGGTTATGTTGCCATGGCTATGTTTTTCTTAACATATTTTGCCATTTAATACGTTAAAAATCTGGTTTCTGGTGCAAACTTTTCAGTTCATAATGAAACCTAAGAAACCCCAGAAACCGCAGTTGAAAGAAAACTAAGATACAATAAAAACAGACCAATCATGAGGTAGCCTTTGTAAACATAAAACAATGTTAGGCAACCTAAGAGAACAAAAGGCAACGCACGTTAACTTAAGACAACACAAGAAATGTAAGACAAAAAAGATAAGACACCCAAGAATCTCCAAAATTTTCGCAAATACCTACAGTAGGCGCTAGGCACAAAGAAAATATGCACCAGTACATACTAGAGTAGTCGATTTGCCGCTGTGGGTGCGGCAAATAGCCACCGAGCTGTATATCTGCATTCTTGCGGCAAAATAGTCAACATGATACGTATTTTCTTCGGTGTGCCTTTATTCGGTAGCACGTCAAGTTGCCGACCGGCGTTTTGCTGCCCGACAATTTGCTGACCGGTAAGTTGCTCATTGACACAACTTGCTGACCGACAGACTGCTGACCGACAATTCCCTTCTCTGTAAAATTGCTGGCCGACATTTTGCCAAAACTCTTTCGTTGATCGACAGCTCACTTGTCGGTCAACAAAATGTCGGTAACCGACAAATCGCTGAACGACACCTTCCAGAGGACACAATCTTGCTGATCGACAATTTGCTTACCAGTTGAAGCGTTCAAACAGAGAAGGAAGTCAACCCAATGCAGTCAGTTTTCTTGGGTATTTGTCGGTTTCTTAGGTTTCTTAGGTTTTTTAAGGATTCGTAAGGTTTCTTAGGTTTCTTATGTTTCTTAAGTTTCTTAGGATTCTTTGCGAAAAGTGGCTGTTAAACAAGTCCGAAGCACTTCGAATAAAAATTCCAGATCAGCAGTTTGTCGGTGCTAAGGTGAACTGTCGGTCATTCAGATGTCGATCAACAATTTTGCCGCTAAGCGATGCGTCGGGAATTGTTTTGTCGGTCAACAAAATGTCGTCAGCAAATCATCGGTGTTAACCAAACGGTCGTTCAGCGATTTTGCGTTTCAACAAACCGTCGGGTCAACATTTTGTCGGTCATGAAAAAGTCGTCAGCAAGTCGTCGGTCAGCAAGATAGCGGTCAACAAATTGTAGGTGTGACGTATTTTTTCGACCATACTGCGGCAAAACAATCCACTTACAGGTATAAGGAAAATGTTGCGAACTGAGTTTTCGGGCTCTAGATCAGGTTCACTGTCATAACTATATACTTAATACAACAAAAGTCGCAAGGATGTTGGATAACAACTTTCAAATCGGTTGCACGACAATACTTTTAAACTTTTTGTCCATTTCGTTTCGCCATATCGCCGCCCTTCAGTGAATGTGCTCATTGTGTAATGTGTATCGTCCCGTTTCCCTTGAAAACTGAGTACTGAATCTACAGATGGCGCGGCCTGGCAGAGCTTCGCCAAACTTATAAGTGCCTCACGTCCTGCTGTGGTTGGCTGACTTCAAGTTAGCCAACCACAGCAGAACTTATAAAGCCGAGTTCCTAATTTGGCATTCAACTTTCGGTATACTCCCTTTTCTCGTTTCTCAATTAGTTTTGACACTGTTACAGAATATATTACCCTGTATAGAAAGTCGCTGTCTAAAAAACTCTTTGGCGCGTTTCTGGCCTGTGGCGGTGGCGATACCGCATCCAACCTTCTCCACAAGCCTTTTTATTCCATCTCCCCACGGTCCGTAAATTTCGAATGCGGCCGCCATGAAATTATGCCGTTGTTGCAGCCAGCTGTGTTTCGTCAGTTTCGCTCTTTCGGCGTGTTCAGCTGCGGCCCCGGCGTCCATTGAGGTGCGATCGATATATCGTTAAAGATACTGCACAGATACGTTAAAATACGGCAATGCTCCCAAAATAGGTTGGAAAATTATGAGGATACATTAGGGATACGAACAGAATACTGTGAGAAACGGCGGGATACTGGGAATACAAGTACAACGACACGAAATGAAACATCACTAAGGACACTGGTGTTTTGGGCAATGTAATGTATTTGTACTATGTTTTCACAGATTATCTGGCTCCTATCCTTCTGGGAACACCCAGGAATACGACAAGAAAACATGCTGCCTGGGCTGCCGCCAATGCTCCGCGCGTCTTCCCCAACAGACAGCGTTATATGTACAACAACCACGTCTTCGGTGCAGCAGGTACAGTGTAATGTAAAACAAAAAACTTTCGGTCCGAAGAAAAGTCGTTTTTGGCGTTCCTCGCTGGCATGAGGATAAACAAAACGCGCGCGATCACAGCGTCAGCCTACCACGATATGTGTAACCCATCTTGCATAAAAACTTGAATATACCAAATTTTGGTTACAATAATCATGTCGCGGTAAATATCAGCTCACAATTTCTTCCCAAATGGTCAAATTTTCATATGCAGCGTGCACAAAGTCTGCCATTTGCAAAAGTGACCTTTGCAGGCTGCTTTGCGGAAGTCCTCGCCAAAAAGCTACTGGGCCGTTCTGTTACCTGGGAAGAGTTGTTGGACATGTATTTTTTTAAGCCATTGGGAATACAGCGTGATGGCGTGATGTCGATTTCGCCGGCTACAATTTAACATCCTTTTCAAGACTGTCCTTTCCACATTTGTCCGAGAATCTTCGCTACCGTGCAATGGACGCAAGAACGGTGGACCTAATCGAACCAATTGGCCCTTCAGGGTAACCGCTTACGTGTACACAGGCCCAAGCCAAGACAAAATTGCTTTTTGTCAATTTTTGAACTGATGACCATGCCGTATGAATCTTAGAATATTAATTTGCATGTGCGGTACCTTAACTGTAAACTTTCTAGTTCTGTGTGCATGACGCCCAATGCTATGGCGGTATGGATGCAGTTCATGCTTGACCGGGGTCAGCATAGATTTCGACAGTTGATTTCAAGTAAATCTTTGGAGGACACGTGGAAAACACGAATAATGGGCCTACCCGAGCCACCTCATCCTCCCGCAACGAACCTGGGAAACCGAACGTTTACACTGGCTGAATACCAACAAGAGATGCTCGAGAACCTGGGCTATGGATTAGGATGGATGGAGACAAGACATCGAGGTACAGTATGTACATGAACAAATGCCACACTTACCGGTGTATGCACAGACACACATCGATTCGGTTTTCTTGTATAATTATCGGGAGTTATCATTACAGGGCACCGATTAGTGCAGCATTCAGGCGGATACCTCAGCTACATGTCGCTATATTCTATCTTTCCGGATCAGGATATCAGCATTTTCACCACTTCCGCTGGACCCTACATTGGCATTACTTCGGAAATGAACACCAGGTTGCATTATCGACTGTTTGACTATTTCATGCAACTCGCTCCTCTGAATCCAGCGGACAGTGTTTGTGCTCAGGTCTTCAATAGCAGCATTCCCAAAGCGCCATCTGTATCAAATCCTGCTACTGTGGTAACTGTCGATAACAAATATTACATTGGTGAGTACTACCATCCGGTGCACGGCATCCTGAAGATCGAAGACGGTAGTCCAATGAAGGCCTTCATGGGTCGCGAGGGCAACGCCACGATTGAATGCACAACATCGGTGTCCCAGTGTTTGCTGCGGTTTCACGGGATTACGTGGTGGGTGTCGGGATCAGATGGTTATGGAACACCAGACTTATTAGGGATCGGCTTCGATTTCGCTCCGGATGGTTTTGTCAACCAAGTTACGGTCCCTATGTACTGCTTGGCAGATCCGCCACTTTTCGAGAGAGTGTCGAAAAACAGAACCTAATTTTATTGACAAGACAACATAGTGCTAAATAAGGTGGTGTGTTATAAGATTCGTATCTTCACTGGTTGTGATAAGGAACTTCTTTGACAATTCTCGAAGTGCGAACTATGCACTGAGTGTCGAATCATTTAAAAATGGGTGGTCATAAAATAAAATTGCACAACATTATTACTGCAAACATGACATTGTTTTATCAAAACAAGTGAGCAGTCAAGGAACACCATTTAGATTAATAAAACAGGTACTTATGAGTACTATAGCTGCTAGCTACCCTACGTGCAGCATTAGTATCTATATAACATACAACTTGCAAGTACTGTGTACAGAGTTCGTATTGTCTATAATCAATCCTCTTGTAATTGTGGATGCTGTATTGTACAGTGCATTGGCGTAATATATTTATTTTCTTGTTATCATGCGTGCATCGTACTCGTGCGCTGCCCACTCTAGACAGATGCGCACACATTTCTGTAGGAGTCGCTGATTTTTTAAAATTAATGTCCTAAATTCAACACCAAAATGCTTACTCGGAGTAACTATTGAGCTATCGTTTTTGACAGTCATAGTTGTGCCAGTATCATATTTGTACAGTTTGTAGCTTCTATCAATGGCGCCCGCGCAAAACGTCAGTTTGTTTTCATGGTCAGCATTAATTTTACCACATTAGTACTTTGTGTTTGTAGTACAAGTCTAAGAATTTGTTGATTTGCAGTTTCCCAGTTTATTACACAAACGCTGCAGCTGTAGCGTTGACGAAGCGTTCAGTCCTTGAAAAATGTCACTTCTGGCTGCCGGTTGTACTGAGCACATGTGCCAAATTGGCGGAAAAATTTTCGACCACATTTTATGTTTTTCAAAATCTTACACATTAATACGAAGAAGCAGCCAGTGTACTTTCGTGGTTACTGCAGTTCTGCAGTAAATTGTCACTTCTGACCGGCGCTGCGCGAGCTCATGTGTATAATCCGAGAAAATGTTCAACTATGATATTATTTTCAGGTTACTAGTACGTATTGCAACCTTTTTTGCCAGTTTTAGTTCCAAATCCGGGACAACGTCAATAACTGGCGATATTGATTTGATAATTAGAGAAGAGCTATCAGCGTGCCATTTGGACAAGAAAGCCGGTTACGGTGTGGTGGTGATTGCAAAAAATCGTCTTGAAAACGGCGTCAAAAGGGACGTTATATTCACATCCGGATATGGATATCGGGATTTGGGCAAGAAGGCGCTTGCCGACGCGGACACAATGTTCTGTATTGGGTCTATGTCCAAACATATGACCGCAACATTGTTGGTGCATATATTAGACCTGCTACAAGAGAAAGGGCACCGGTTAGTAAAAGTCACGCTTAGCTTATAGGGATTCTTGTCACCATCCCTAAAATTTATTTATTATGTCTGTAGTTAATCTGTTTGATAGCGCATTAATTGTATTGTTAGATAATAAACCATATAACACATTAAAAATTTTATTGAAGTCTAATCAATATACTATGATAATTATTATGTATGCGATTTGCATGCAGGTACACGTTACAGACAGTGATCACTGAACTTGATCCCGATTTGAACTTCCCTGGATCACAGTTCATTAATGTTACTTTGGAAGATGTTCTTAGCCATCGCACAGGTCTAACAGGTACGGATATTGCCATGCTGTTATTACGACCGTATCCATCATGGCACAAACGACAGCCAATTAAACGCAACATTGGCTGAGTTTGTACACATGTCATATGTGCTATGAACGCAAACTTGGTTTAACCATTTAATTTGCATGTTCAGCTACGAATTACTTACCGAATGACCTGTAAAAACTGGGTTAATAACAAAATTTGTAGATTATCTCGCTCCTCTCCTTGTGGGGTCGCTCAGAAACACGACAAGAAAACATTCGGCATGGGGCGCCGCGAATGCTCCGCGGTTGTACCCAAATAGGCAGCGCTATATGTACAACAACCACGTTTTCGGTACAGCAGGTAAGTTTTGCTTCAAAACTGGCAACAAATCATCCATAAAATGCTAATTGCAGTGACCTTTGCAGGATACTTCGCGGAAATCCTTGCAGAAAAACTGCTGGGATATCCTGTAACGTGGGAAGAGTTGTTAAAATTATATTTTTTCAAACCATTGGGAATTCAGCCTGACGTTGACATAGCAGGCTATAACTTCACATCATTTTCAAGATTGTCATTACCCTATATTTTGTCGGAGACTGACGGTTATCGCGCAATGGACGAGAAGACAATAAGCCTGATCGAGCCGCTTGGGCCTTCTGGGTAAAATACTTTCGCGCTCCTTCTCACCTTAACAATCCGACTGTAAATCTGGTAAATGGCAAACCGCTAAAACCCGTGTTTTTGTATTTTACAATGTACTGTACACTCTGAAAAAGAGCCTAAAATGTACAATACATCAGGGCGCTGTATGTATTTTACAGATGCGTTTGCACACAGGACAGCGTTAAAAGCTGAACAATCTCATTTTTTAATCTGTTAGTGGTGCCTGTTTAACTCCCAACGCAATGGCTGTTTGGATGCAGTTCCTGCTCGACCGGGGGCGGTTCAAGTCTAGACAGCTGATTTCACGTAGAACTTTGGAAGACACATGGAAATCGCGCATTTCCGGTTTGCCCAACCCACCGGACCATCCTGCATCAAACTTAGGAAATCGGACGTTTACAATAAAGGAATACGGACAAGAAATCATCGAGAACCTTGGTTATGGTTTAGGGTGGATGGAAACCAGACACCGAGGTGCGTTCTATACTGTTTACGTATATTATACAACTGTAAGTTGTAATTATAATATTCATCGGCACAACGTCGCCTAAAGAAAATTAAATTATGTAAAACGTACGTACGTACGTCCGTCCGTCGCGCGACGGACCGCATCACACTAAAGGTTAAGAAAATCTGTTACTTATCGTTAGGTTACCGGTACCTTCAGCATTCAGGCGGATATCTCAGTTATACATCGCTGTACTCGATTGTTTCGGATCACGATATCAGCATATTCACCACTTCGGCTGGACCATATAATGAAATTGTATCGGAAATGAATCAACGATTGCACTATCGGCTGTTTGACTATATAATGCAACTGGCTCCTCTGAATCCAGCGGACAACGTTTGTGTAGAATTGGATACCCAGAATGCCAGTATCCCCGCAGTGCTGTCGACGCCAAACATCAACACCGCAGTAGAAGTTGATAATACTTTGTACATTGGGCAGTATTACCATCCGGTGCATGGGATTCTGAAAATCGAAGACGGTAACCCCATGAAGGCCTTCATGGGCCGCGAAGGCAACGCTACCATTGAGTGTACAACTTCGGTGTCGCAGTGTTCGATGCGCTTTCAAGGGATTGTGTGGTGGGTGTCGGAACCGGATAGCTATGGAGCGACACCCGGATTATTAGAGATTAGCTTTAATTTTACCAGTGATGGTTTCGTCAGCCATGTTACATTGCCGATGTACTGCCTCGCGGTTTCACCTGTTTTCGAAAGAGTATCAACATAGCAAATTAAAACAGATCTGTATCAAGATAAGGTGATGCAGTACCATGCACCAAGGTTATAAGTCCTTGATTAATTATTTATATACGTATGGTAATTATAATATGACGACTATTTTCATTATTGTGTCAATTCCGACAATTCGTACGTGTACCGAGTACATAATTAATTTTGGTAATTGTACTCTGTACGCCCGCTCAAGTCCCCATCGGATTCGCTCACCTGAATTGTAAAATTGATTGATACGTTCAATACTGTAGTAGTGTTACGTAAACTGAACACGCGAAAGGTACTGTTGTAATCAGAGCGGAAAATTTTTAAATGTTATCAGAATCTTGTGTGGAAGTAAGTACTGTACGGGCGGGTTTTTTGGGTTTAAATAAGCATGCACCGCGTGCGGCGGTTACTTAATAGTGCACAATCCGTGTCAGAATGGCGTGACTCAGTCATGAGCTCAGCTCTTGCCTCGCGGTAAATCCCCTCTGACTGCAGCCTTCGGAAACAGATGTGAAATCTGTTCCAAAATCAAAAATGCAGCGTTGCTCCTCTTCATTTTTGTAGCGTCTTGTTTCAGATTTATTAAAGCATATTTCCCCGTGTAAATATTTTAATAACCTTATTAAAGTCTGCCTGAATGGGACGTGCTTGAAATTATTGGGATTTATTAATCAGTAATTTGTAATTGTATGGACCGAATTCTTACTATCGACGCTTGTCTATGATCCGGTCTTCCTTTCAGCACTGCGTGTTGGTGGAATTTCCGATATATGGTTTATCTCATCTCTTCGAATCCTTTTGTTCTCACTGTATTGCCTTGAGATCTCAAAATGGGAGTACTGTTGTCAAAATTCAGGGTACGTGAAAGTCCTCAAAATCATGAAAAGCGCTTACTATAGACTATAGTTATTGCAGTAACTCTGTAACTAGGTACCTGAATATCGTTATTGTTTGCTTGATTTGAAGATTTGAGGCTCTTTTGCTTGATAGTTACGCTTACTTTTAGGAAGCTCTCTTTGCTCCTTTTGTATTGTATAACGTTAACTTAGTTATTTTCAGAAAGCGAAGATCGAAGAGACTGCTGAAGAAAAATTGGCAAAAATTGAATCTCAGATCAAAAGCCTGGACGAAATTATCCAGCAGGATCGGCAACGGGAGAAACGCATCTGGGCTAGTTTCCTCTTTATCACGGGATTCCTCTACGTTACCGTTGCGGGTATTCTCCATTTCTTTGTTCTGGAGCGCAGCACAATAATCGATTATGCGAAATTGGTTCTCATTTGGATCACCCCAATCTTTCTGTGAGTGAGGCGAAGGATGTTGGAGCTGTGTAGTTTCTGCAGCTTTCTCGCTTTTGCCTTCTGGCTTGCCTCAGTTTTGACGGGTTTTTAATTATTAGTTTAATGCGTATTATAACGCGGGGCCATATGGGCGCCACGCGTATCCTCGACAGCGAACAGCGTGAACCCGGATGAGGCTTTATTGCCGAATCTAATGCGCACCGTGGCGCAGCAACACCAAAACTAATGAGGAAGGATCCTGCAGCCAGTGCAACTGTGCTGCAGGTCCGTCAAAACAGCGCAGCAATGTGCGGGGGGGAAATCCCCAGAAACAGCGAATAGCTACTCAGGAGGGCGGGGCGTCCCGCCCTTACACCCTTTGCAGGCATCGCTACGTCCTCGGAGCGAAATCTCCCAGGATTCGGAGGATCCGCACCCCCGCCGGTTCGGCTCATGTTGGGTTCCGGGTCAGTTCGGTCCGGTTCGGGCGGTTAATCCGGTCGGCTCGGTTCCAGTTTGGTCGGCTCAAATCCGGTTCGGCTCAGGTTGGGTTCCGGGTCAGGTCGGCTCCGGTTCGGTCCGAGTCAACCGTCTGGGTCAACGCACTGTCGCGCCAGATCCAGGGTCCAACCCGGAAACGGGTGAATTCCGTAGTTTCTTCCAGCAAGGGAAAGGTCACGTTCTGGGGAAATTTGGGCAGGGGTTTGGGGTCTATGTGGCCCGTGACCCTGCAAAAAAACAAAGCACGCAAATCCGCGGTGAAATCCACTGCTCCGTCCGGGGGATGTCGCCGTCCCAGGAAGTTCGGGCAGTGTTTTGGTGGGGGAATTCTTCGGCGTGGTGCTGGTGGTCGATCCGTGCCGTTGGGATCGGAGTTGGTGCTGCTGTTGGCGGTGTATCCGTTATGGTTTCCCGCTGGTCCGGGTCGCGTTCGCCGTCGGCATCGCAGGAGGCAATTCTCGCTCCACGGCATCGCAGGAGGCGTTTCTCGCTCCGCGGCATCTCCGTCCAGTTTGGGAGGCATGTCGTCGCGGGGAGGCGTCCATCTCCGTCAGTTGGGAGAGGAATCCGTCACGTTCCGCGAGAATGGGGGGGCGTTTGTAGCTCCACACCCAGGGGTTAAATTGGCTCAAATAATCAGAGGAGCCGTGCGCGGGCGTGCACGGCCTGGCTCGTAACCAACGATCTGCTACCATATAACGCGGGGCCATATGGGCGCCACGCGTATCCTCGACAGCGAACAGCGTGAACCCGGATGAGGCTTTATTGCCGAATCTAATGCGCACCGTGGCGCAGCAACACCAAAACTAATGAGGAAGGATCCTGCAGCCAGTGCAACTGTGCTGCAGGTCCGTCAAAACAGCGCAGCAATGTGCGGGGGGGAAATCCCCAGAAACAGCGAATAGCTACTCAGGAGGGCGGGGCGTCCCGCCCTTACAGTATAATTATATTCTCTTAGAGGTAATAAAATTGTGTACTTATACCGGAAATTACGTACAGTTGTATAATTGCGCATGTAAAGTTTTATTAACTGCGTTTTAATTCTGTAAAGTTTAGCGACGGGAAACCGCAAAAATATTGAAGTGATTGAAATCTGGTGTAATTTTAAAATTAAAATGCAAGCTGTAAATTGAAGTAATTACAATGTAGATGAATAGACTGATTATTATTGATTTATATTTATTTAATAACGCACAGATGGTTGGAATAGCTTTGATGTGATTATGGTGTTGAAGATGATAACGATGATTAATTTTGATAATATCCGCTTGCGTGTTGCAGATTGTTTCTGTGTGGCCCACGCTTTTTATTGTCGTATGGAAATCTTAATAATTAATTTCTGCAAGACGTGTGTGTGCGATGTGAAGATAAAATCGAATATGTTATTTTGTTTTTAGCATTTATTTCCTCCAAAGATGGATCCCTTGGTATTTTGAGCGTCGAATTCTAGTGAAAAAAGAGAAACTTATCAAATTCCGTCAAGATAAGAAGAAGATCCTGGATCACGTGCGAGACAATGAGCCATACAATAAAGCTAAAGCTATTCTGGAGAAATACGACCCGCTTTCCGTCACACCACGGGGCTCCACTCAGGCCGTGCCTTCCCATCCCCAGGTCCGTTCGGGCAGCAATGTGAGCCTGACGAAAATGCCTGTGACACCGTTTCCCGCCACCGCAGCACCGGGTCCACGCCCTCCTTTACCCCAGCCCCGTCCAGGCGCCAATAATTTTTACCCGCCGCCATATGCGCCGCAAAATCGTGATTTGGTCTATGGTCGACCGCCACAAATCAAGCACCGCACCACCATGGATCGTATGCTGGATTTTCTCGTTAAGGATGGCCCGGAGAACCGTATGGCGTTGATATGCCGGAATTGTGGGGCGCATAATGGGTTGGTTATGCTGGATGAATTTGATTATACAGGTAAAAAATACTGTAATTAAAAACACGTTTTTCTTCACTGCGAGAATGTACTAGCTAGCAGTAAAGATAAAATCGATGTACAAGTAGTAGTGAAATGATGCGAGTTAACGCACTCCAAATTTGAGTGTGTTGAATTTCTGATTGATATTGTTTGCACCGATTGGTTGCTGATTTTTGGTTGTTGTTTGATTTTTCTTTGGCTACGTTTTATGCCACAGTGGCTCTTTTCTTCAAATACCAGTACACTGTGACTGTTTTACATAACTGTTTTAGCTTCTTTTCTGGCGAAAATTGTTTTATTTTGTGAAAATAGTTGTTGCCCGTTTTTAGGATTTAAATGTTTCGAGTGTCTCGTAAGCCTCGTCCGATTGTTTCGCGACCGAGCATAAGCGCGGAAGGACAGCGCAGCGGATCCTTTCCTCTAACCGGCTCATTGGACAACCAGTTCGAGTCGTCCAGCTCATCAGAGGAAGAAGATGAGACCACCGCTACCCGCATCGCGGAAGAAGAAACACCGGTGCATCAGGCCACCGTCAAATCAGCGGCGACCATTTTCCAGCATGAAGATATACCGCGCGCTTCCGTGGCGGCTGTGGATCCGAGTTTGGAGGAAAGTGATACGGGCAGTGAGAGCGATGTGGAGGAGGAGGATTCACCGCCCGACAGCTCACCGACGGCGGCACCGTTGTCGGTGGAAGCCGAGCGTCCCGCCGTTGTGGCCTGACTGGAATTATGCTTCCGCTTCGTAGTTAATATGTAGTTGTGCTCAAAGTGTGGTTGGGAATTGGTAGAGGCTATCTAGTCGTTTTTGTCTCAAGATATCAGCGGGATTGTTTTTGGGAATTGGCTTGAGACCCTCCTTAATGTTAAGTATTTCAGTGACAGTTTGCTTTGTGGAATAATCGCTTCCAGCGTTTCTCACTATTTGCATTGCATATCTGCTCAGCAGATGTGCAGATTTGCTATTGTGTCATCGACAGTTTCACCATCGTTTGTGAAGTAAAAATCAAATGCGGTATTCCTGCTGGTTGTTGCTCGGAAGTGTCCTTTAGTGTGTTCGTGGATAAAACGTATGTGCCTTTGAATCTGGCACAGTATCTGCCTGTACATGTCGGCTGATGGATACTCGTATTACAATAATATGTAACGATATTCCTGTCATGTACGCTCGCTTATGAAGCGGTTGTAAATTGTGTTAAAGCATTTTATCAGCAGCACCCGGCAATTTTCCAGCCCAGGTCCTTGGAAGTCTTTCCTTTCATATTGACGGCAGATAATGATTGATTACTTTATGGTTGTATATGGTGCGCGAAAAGGTGAGCACTGTCCTTATTTCTCACTTACGATAATTTATCTTTAAAGGGAAATTCATATGGTGCAATACTTACAAACTGAAACTGCAATGATATGTTACAGCTAATTCCAAGCTCCCGAATGGAATTTTTAGGAAAATACCACAATATTCTGCAATTTCAAAGATAACAGCCAGTAAGTTTTGACGTGGCTAGCTGTAGTGTGGTCGCTAAATCTTAACTGACTCGACCAAAAACTTTTAACAAGTATTTTTTCAGTTATCAGAAGGCCAGTTTTTCACTTTCGAGCAGAATAACTAACCTTTTCAACTGTAACTACCTCTACCGTTTATTCCGATATTAACGTAGTACAACTCCGACCTTTCCGCTAAAGCCAAGTCTGCCAAGATGATTCGGACAGGCTAGCAGATTTTACATGACCAAAACTACAGAACTTTGGGTTTGCAAATTGCCACCAGACTGATCAATCTAAATGGCAATAAACGACTAAGACAGCATTAACAATTTAACATGAAACATACAGCAAACTGCGGCACGCAGCAAATCCCAAAACAGGGAAAGCCCCTAATCAACACACAGCAAAAACACAGAAACCCAAAACAATTCCATACAAAAAGAAAAGATCGTCATGACCCGAGGAAAACGATTCCTCTCCATCGTCCGATCACACTCTCAGCGATGCCGCCAGTCACGGTAGCGGAACGGACGCCGCCGCTCCGGCCCGCTCGGCGCCCCGCGAATCCCTCCGATCCCGACTGGATGTGCTGGCCGCGGTGGCGCTTCCGTGCTTGCGGTCGGGTTCGCAAGTTCTCGACGAACTGGGTGGTGGGGATCGCGAGCGGGAGGTGTGTTTCTCACGGTGCCGACTGCTGCTGCTGCTGGTGTCTTCCGGGCCGAGGCGCTGCTCATCCGGCACTTGCAGTACTTCACCTGGCTGCTCATCCAACCGGCGATGCGCTTCCGTTTGCCGCTCTCCCGCTCGTCCTGATAGGTCGTCACGCGCATCTATCAAATGATCAAAAAATTAATAGAGAACAGCTACAATTCAGAAAACGGGCAGAAAAAAATGCGATGTACTTGTTAATTTATTTATGGCATAAAACAAGGGCTACAAAAATTTTACGTTATGGAAGATAGATTGTGTGGTAGCAACCGTACCATGCTAATGCGATTAACAAACTGATAAACAAATTAAAAATGCTATTCGCCAACGTGAGTAAAAAACTGAGCAAAAACAAACTGATAAATGCAACGGCAACTTGCACGTAAAAAGGAATAACAACATAGTTTCCGGTCGTGCCTCAATTTCTCTCAGTTATTTTCTGACTTCGTCGTCCAGTTTTTCCCCTGGATGGCTGTAGATGTTTTGGATTCCTTCGAAGCACCATCACCGCCTGCCACACGATCCCATTTGCTCGTCGTGATGGCTGCAACGAAACTTCACAATAATGCAGCAACACAACTGATAACTGTCAACGCTTGATCTCATTGCACTTTCAATCTATCAAAGCAATTACGTTATCTAAACGATAATTATTTACCCTGCCAAATTCATCATCCGGTAACTCATTTCCAAAACAAACAAATCCATACGTAATATTTAAACAAGAAATCTAACGGAAATCATGTGATTTCAAAAAATATTAAGATACTAATATTTAAACTGAATGTTTCCAGTTAACAGTTTCAGACATTAAGACATATAATAATTATAAATAGGAAAGTTACACAACAAATAGCATAACTTTATTTGCTAATTAACCATTCAGTTAATTATTACTGTTTAAATAAAAGGTTATTTTTCAAAATTGCGCATGCCTTGGGCGTTCACTTGTTCGGGATCCGCGGTCTCCCATCTCGACGGGGCCGGTTTGGTCTCGGCGGCAGCCCGTTCTTGTAAGGGCGCTCCGTCGACATGTTCATCAACTGCAGAAAATAATAATCAACTGCAGAAAATAATAAGTGACGAGTTACTCCAATCGAATTCTACCAAACGGCAGGCGATACCGCATACCGACATGAATTCTACACGTACAGAAAATCATAACAAATTTCGATCCAGATACTTTTCTGAAAACATTCTGATCTAAGAATTCTCGCTGGACTCCGGTAACAGTACTGATTGAATCAAAATAACGGGACTTGATAAAAAACAATGCCAAATTGCCAATAAATTGCAGTGCCGATACGTGACTGACCGAGGAGTGTAAAAAACACACACAGCCAGAGGAAATATTTAGGAACTATGCGATTAAAAGTATTATGCATCGTTATTTATCGTTAGCACTGAATCAACTTACTGGGTACACCATCCACATCGGCATCCATGAAGCTGGGCAACAGATTGTGGCGGATGGGAAGGCGGTCAGAAAAACGGGTACCCATCGCCCGGCTCCGAACCCAGGAAAACATTCTGCAGTTTGATCAGGTATTTGGGCGGATACAACGCCCCGTCTTCCCATGCGAGGAAGCAGTTCATCACTCGTTGCTACGGCAAAACGTCAGCGTCAGGATTTATATAATATTGACCGTAACGTAATCACTTAAGATTTCAAAACAAAAATACTTTAAAATTGCAAAATTGCCTGAAACAAACAATGTGCAACTGACAGCTTCCGTTAACGCAACAAGAATTTTCGACTGTTTTCAGGAATGCGCAAAAACCGGTAAAATCTCCACAATCACGATCACAATTAAAAAGGTATTTAAATCTTACACCACAGCAATGCCTCTTACCCATTCCTGTAGTACCCGGCATTCTGCACGTGGCCACTGCTGCTGTTGTGGA